TTCTCCCACAGAGCGGCTGGTAGATTCGAACTGCCAACCCTGTGGTTTGCAGCCCAACTCGTAACCCACTACACTACCATGGCTCTTTGTTGCTATGATTAAGTGGTCTTAAGTCATTATTTCTACTAGGACTCTTTACATTATTTTAAACTCCAAATGATACAGAAGAAAGTAAACACAACAAAATAACATCATTTGTGTGCTGAGTTGCTGGATTCTGGACAAGAACAGATGGGATTTTCTTGGCTCTTCACTAAGAAGTGTCTAACTAATGGCTACCCTACCCCTTTGTATCTGTTACTTTAAAATGTGTATATCTGAATTAGGAAAAAAAAGATAACCCACCACATTAATACATATATAAGTCCTAAGCAAACTGCACCAAATACTTTTTTAAAATCTGAGTTTTGGTGATATGATTACTGAACTAACTCACTCACTGCAATAGCCTTTTGTGTTTCGTCCTAAATCTCATTTTTTGACCTGAACCAATTATGTTCTTCATAAAAATTGTATATTCTTTTTTTCTGTCACATCTCTTAAAACAAGTGATCTGCTCATTAATAATCAGAAAACTGAAAGGCTTTCCACTGTGGAAACAACAGTCAAAAGCTTAAATTAGGTTAAGTGGCTTCATCTTCCACAGGTAAATGTTTACAATCCAAGGTTTATTTTCCCCATGAGCAGGGTGTGCTTATTATATAAATGAATCTACATTAGCTTACGGAAAAGTTAAAATGTAGTTTTCTGAAAGACACTTTATCTTCACACAGAGGAAACAACCCAATATAGAAATTTAAATAAGAGCAGATGATTTAAAATTGACACTACATGAAACGCTGACGTCACTGCCTTGGATCATTTACACACTGCATCCAGTATTTTATGTAGGACATTCATTCTTAAGGCAGAAGAATCTAATTTTACATATAATGACTTGGTTCTTACATTTAAGGATCAAACTGGGAGTAGACTTGAACAGATTCTTTAACAGTAAGCACTTCTCTGTTGTGAAAATTTCATTCTTAGTTTATGTAATATAAGAGACAGACCTCTGAAAAAATATATAAAAAGATGAATCTGAAAACACACAAATATAGTTTTTCAAGATGAGATCAATGAGATGGAGTTAAACTACTCTCATGACAAATGAACAAACTCCGATATATTCTTTTAGTTATAGTTCATTAAAAGTTTGAAATAGCAAAGATCTTTTTGGAGTGGGTTAGACTCTGGTTTTTAAGATCGAGTATAAAAGGCAGCCAGAATAGTAAAAAGCAGTTGAATGTCAACTCACACTGCTACATAGAAGGCTACCACCTCAGATATTCCTACTCATCAACAAAATCCTTTGCAGGGAGAAAATCAACAATGTATTAAAATAAAAATGAACCCCCTCGTAGCGCATCCCTCAAATGTGCAAAAACAACTCATCAATGAGTAGAAAGATATTCTTAAAGAAAACATCTTAATACCAGATGCGACGCCATCAAAGCCACACAGACATAAGAATGTCTCGCATTGCCTAGGTACATGCCTCAGTCAGATGAGGATGAAACCAACCACTGGACTGGACCCCCGGTAGATGTGCTTGTGGGAGGGAGCGAGAGAGGGCAGACTAAGAGGAACTGGGTCTGTGGGTGGCCCGCCTCTAGCAGACCAAGGCCCTAAGTCCTCTGGGCTGTGTGTGTTCCTTCCCCTCGTCAGGGGGCGCTCCCTGCATCCTGGTGCAGTCATTTTTAAGAACAAAAGCAAGCAAGAATCCGAAAGACAATTTGTTGGCAGGTGATAGTGACTATTAATGGTGTGAAGTACGCCACTTTGTGTGCCTGTTGCTTATGCCACAGCTCTGGCAATTGTCAGGAGTGTACAAAGATTACCTGCCTCGTTTTAAAGACATGAAGACTTTCTTCTTTCACGGTGGCAGGAGTCCATGCAAGATTTGTAAACTGTGATACAAAATACTGTAAACAGAACTTAACAGAGCTTGTATAAAACATAAGTAAATCCAAATTTACAAGTGGGCTAAAAAAACAGAGGGTGGCTTTATACAAAGGTCTCCCTCTTGCGCCAAGTGATTTTGTTTTTTGATTATAAATGTAATCCTGAGCTGAAAAACTGGGATTTGGGAGAGAACCATCTTTGCATCCAAAATATCCAAACGATGTTTTACTCTTTCTGTTTTCCTCTAGTGTTATTCAACTGCCAGAGACAGTTCTGAATGTGTGACTTTGGAGACACTTATAGCTTAGTGTGGTGTCCGGGTCGGGAGCCTGCTGCACCGCTTGCCATGGCCGCTGACGCAGCAGCATCCTCCGCCTCCTCCAGCTCCTCCTGGAGCTCCTGGCTGACGCTGGACTGGAGGGCGGCAGGGGTGAGCCACTCCTTCGGGAGACAACTCTGTAGGAAGGGTATACAGGAGCTGAAGTAGGCGAGTCGATTAATCCAGCGAGGAATCTCTTTGCCACAAAGAATCTACAAAGGAAAAAGTTTGTGTTATAAGACAGGTTAAGGTCATGGTGTGGCCCTGTGGGTTAATGCGCCAGATTGCAAAGACATTTGAACTGCAAAGTTGGCGTTTCAAGTTCACCAGCTGTACCTCAGAAACCTTATACAGGGTCGCTACGGGTCAGTACCAACTCGACAGCACTTAACAACAACAAAGGTCATTTGGTCCACTGCATAGAGAAGAGGAGGGAGGAGTGAAGAGGGAAGATGATGTAGAGAAAAACCTCTGCATATTAGGCTTTGGCCTCACATCTTTGATAACAAGACCACTGATCTGTCTTCAATCTGCCGAACCTGATATACCTATTGTTAGCTCCATCCTTGCTTTCTGAATACCATCTGCCAAGTTACTGTTTGGTCTGTATAACCAACCCAATTCCACTAGGTTCCTTTTTTTCTTCGATCTTTGCCATTGCTTTGGGACATATGAAAAAAGACTTAAAAGAATGCAAAAGAAGGGACTTGCATGATAAAGGATCTCAGCGCAATCACAGAAGCCCTAGGCAAAGCAGTCCAACTTGAGTCATTTCCTACCTCCAAGTTTTTTTCTTCAGTCTTTTATACTCTTCTCCCATCTCCAATAGTCTATTCTCTGCAGCCTTCACTTTATAACCACTACTCCTATCCCCAATCTACTTTTTCTAATGAACTCACACAGGTCCAGAAGGAAGCTGAAGAGGGGTGATGGATGGAAGCCTGGCCACCATCAGTCTGCACCTGCAAACTCAAATGAGGGGGAGGAATGGGACTCAGGAGTGTGCGGTTCACAGATGATCTGCTGCGCCAACACCCACTTCCCCTTCGGATGCTGTCATTAAGGCCCCTGAGCACTTTACTTTTTGCCCCTAATCATGCAGTTAAAATGCTCCTTGTAAACTAGGAATAGGGGCACTTGTCTCTCACACTTCAGACATATTATCAGAAGGGACCAGTCCCTGGAGAAGGACATCATGCAAAAAAGAGGAAGACCCCCAATGAGATGGACTGGCACAGTGTCAGCAGCAACGGCCTTAAGCATGATGACAATTGTGAGGATGGTGCAGGACTGGACAGTTTTGTTTTGTTGTGCATAAAGTCACTATGGCACCTAACAACATGCCAACATTACCATCACATGATCCGGAAGGTTCTATCTCAGTTAATGACTTTGGAAAGAGGTTTTAAAGCATCTATGTCCAGAAATTAGCTAACTCTTCAGTAAACTGGTATCTGTAATTACATAATGTAACTTTTTTCTCATTAAAGGTTTATGAGAAGAAAGTTACATTGCGTAATTACAGGTACCAGTAATTAACCACCCACTAATGGTTATGATGGAGTCCTGGTGTGGCGCTGTGGGTTAATGCACCAGACTGCAAAGCCATTTGAACTGCAAGGTTGGCGGTTCAAGCTCACCAGCATCTCCTTGGAAACCCTAATAAAGGGTCGCCATGGGTCGGAACCGACTCGATGGCACTTAACAACAACAATGGTTATGACATTTACTTTAAATACAAGGGGCATCAAAAAGTTCATGGGAAAATGGAAATAATAGATAATGGATTTTTTCTATGAACTTTTTGATGTTCCCTTCTTCTATGTCTATTTTCATTATAAGAAAAGTAAGATGGTTTCACTTGAGGGGAGCTAGCCTGCTTTGATCATTAAATTTTTTTGATTTATTCAGAAGCGATAGCAGCCCCCAGGGATACAGAAGTACCAATAGGTGAACACATCTGTTCGAATGGAGAGCCAGACCTAGATGCTTACAGAAAGCTACATGCCTCAAGACTGACTGTCTTCTGTAGATTATGTTTACTAAAGAGTACAGACTTACTGAAGCACTATCCCAAGGGCTGGACATCAGAACGAGCTAGGCCAGGATCAGGTGGTTCGTGGGACAATCAGCAAAACAACAATTTGAGAGCAATTACTGCCACTGAAATGTATACTTAAAATGTTAAAATGCCAAATTTTATGTTGTATGTACACAGTTGTTGTTAAGTGTGGTCAAGATGGTTCCGACACATAGCAACCCTGTACAGGGTTTCTGAGGAATGGCTGGTAGGTCTGAACTGCCAGCCATGTGGTCAGCAACCCAGTGCTTATCCTACAGTGTCACACCAGGACTCTGTATGTACTTTACCACATTAAAAATCTGGGTTTAATCTATTGGAAAAAGGATTATTTCAAAACAAATTTTTATATCTGAGAACTAAATCCCATCTTTGCTCCATTCCTTTAGTATCTATGGAGAAGCTAGAAACAAGTGTGATGGTAAAACACTATATAGTAAGACATGCACTCTGGATAAAGCATGGACTGCAAATGACAAGGTCTGTGGTTTGAGCACACCAGTTGCTCCACAGGAAAAATATGAGGCTTTCAGCTCCCACAAAGATTTACAGTCTTGGAAACCCTACACAGGGGTGCCATGAATAGGAATGGACTCGACCGCACTTAACAACAATATTGCCTCAAGGAGCCTTGGTAGCACCATGGTGTAAGCACTGGACTACTAACTACAAGCTTGGTGGTTCAAGCCAGCCAGCTGCTCCACAGGAAAAAGATATGACTGTTCCTGCAAGGATTTATAATCTTGGGAAATCTACATAAGGTCGCTGTGAGTCAGAATGAATGGTAGTAGGTTTGGATTTTGGAATAATGCCTCAGAAAGCTAGAGTTTCACATAGGAAGAAGTAGCTAAGTTGGCTCGTAAGAGACAAATACCTGTTTTCCAGAAGAGGAACACAAGAGGAAGGATAAGAAACAGCGATATTTGTTTTAAAAACTTTTTATCGTGAACTGAGTGAAGGTTTACATAGCAGATCATCAGTTATACATTCAACAAATCATGTATTTTGCTTCATTATATAGTAGCAATCCCCTTCAACCCTTAACAGCATGTGCCTTTACTCACTTTAACTCTTGCATTCCTCCTTGTGTCTGTCTCTCTCCTGCTACCTTCATCTTTCCTCTGCTAACCTCCCGCAACCCATGTTAACATGTGTCTACTCTCTAGCCCATGAATAATCCTTTCCTCCCACCGTAACCATCAAAGATCATTTATCAAGAAAACCTTTTCACAACATTGATCTCATACAACATTTGTCCTTTTGTAATTGACTAAATTCACTCAGCATGTCCTCCAGGTTCAACCATGTTGTGAGGTGTTTTACAGGTTCATCATTATTCTTCAATGTTAAAGTTTGCTTAATCATTCTTCTGTTGATGGGCATTTAGGCTGTCTTCATCTTTTTAATGTTTCTTGTAGAAAGCATATTGTGTTTTTTTTTTTTTAAATTGATTCTGCTCTTTGGACTCCTGGTGTGGTGCTGTGCATTAATGTTGAACTGCAAAGTTGGTTTGAACCACAAGGTTGGCAGTTCAAGCTCACCAGATGCTCCTCGGAAACCCTACACAGGGTCGCTATGGGTCAGAACTGACTTGACAGCACTCAAACAATTCTCTTTGTGTCTCCTGACTGGAGTCCTGGTGTGGCATTGTGGGTTAATGCTCTGCTCTGGACCACAAAGTAGGTCTGAACCACAAAGTCAGTGGTGGTTCAAGCTCATCAAATGCTCCTCAGAAACCCTATACAAGGTCATTATGAGTTGGAACCGACTCAACGGGCACTTAATAACAACAAAATCAATATGAATTGATTATGTGTTTTTTGATGCTCCTGCTGGATTCTTTGTTCTACATAATTTTCTATGCCGAGATCGTTTTGTTTGTGGGTATCTTTTCATTTCTGTTGTGTTACTGTTTAGTTAAATCTTTCTGATTTTCCTTTTTAAATTTGCTGTGCAATTATCTTTAAGGTTTTCTTTAAGGTTTCCCTGCTTAAAACAGTCTTGTTTTATA